AGTCGGCGAGTGGCCGAGCAAGTGGGGCAAGTGGGGCAAGATGACCAAGCTTGCAAAATGACCAAGATGACCAGTGGCCGAGCTAGATGACCAACCTTGCAAGATTTCCACGTTCTAAATTCCCGGCACAATGTAATAGTGGTAGTAGTGGTACGTAGTAGTCGTCGTCGTCGTAGTAGTAGGTCTAGTGTGTTCTTTTGCGTGCGTGCATGCATATATATATATATATCTGTGTGTGTGTGTGTCTGGTGTGCGCGCGTGTGCCGGTTGGAAGCCGCTGGTGGTAGGCTTGTCCTTTAAATTTGGAGGAAAACAGACAGGAACCCCTAGACCCTCCTAAACTCCAACCTCCAAAACCTTAAATTCCTCAAGCCCTAAACCCTACAGCCTAAACCCTTAAGCCTTCAAGCACTACAGCCCTAAGCCCTAAAGCCCTAAAGAACCAAGCCATGAACCGTGAGAACCCTTAGCTGCTGAGTTCATAAGCACAAAAAAAAATGTACACTTCCAGTTCGATAAGGGGTCATACTATCACAAAAAGTACTAGAGCCCTACGTCCTACAAGCCCTAAAGAACCAAGCCATGAATCCTAAACCCTAACCCCTAACCCCTAAACCCTAAACCCTAAACCCTAAAACCTAAACCCCTAGACCCCTAAACCCTAAACCCTAAACCCTAAGAGCCCTAGCGGCTTGCTGAAGCCGACTTCATTTCTTCCTCCAGGGAGTCTGAGTCGAGGCAGTCCTGGGAGATGATCTGGGACCCTCAGATTTCTAGGGGTTTAAGGGTTTAGGGGCTTAGGGTTTAGGGTTTCCTCAAATTTTTAGGGTTTAAGAGTTTAGGGGCTTAGGGTTTAGGGTTTAGGTTTAGGCTTCCTAAAAGGATTGTTAGGGGTTTAAGGGTTTAGGGGCTTAGGGTTTACGGTTTAGGGTGAAAAGAATGAGTGTTCATAGGTTTAGGCTTCCTGAAAGGCTTTATGACCTGTTTTTGTGTGTCGGCACCGCTCAAAACCCCCCAGATATGCAAGTTGTTACTAGGGAACCTACAAACACAGGTTCAGGGAATCCTGGGCCAAACCCCCGCATCCAATAGAGCGGCTAGAAAGGAACGCTGTGGTGCCCCTGGTTGTTTTTGCACACAAGGTTTTGCGATGTTTGGTGGATTGTCGCGTAAATTTCAGGTTGGAATGATTTCAGACTTCTTCCGTACCACAGAACGGTGCAACATGTACACTTTCAAAGTCGTCATCATATATCCTTATTCTAGCGGTCACCCTCCCATTCTCTCAAGCTGTTCACATACTTTGCCGGAATCGTTCTTTCTGTCTGTGGGCAACGATAATTTTGAAGAGTGTGAATGTGTGAAGAGCATGCGGGCCAGCAAAAAAAACCCTTGATGTTCGGCAGTTGCCCATTATCTTCACGCCTTCACATACTTGCACGGTATCGTTCTTTCTGCTTGTGGGCGAAGAGAACGATAATTTTGATGAGTGTGCATGTGTGCAGAGAATGGAAACCCAGGACGTAGACTTATTATAAAATATGATACAAAGCAAAGCAATATCCAGAAATAAATCTGGTTTACCCAGAGACCTTAGAATCTGAAGCCCTAATCTCAAATCCCAAGCCTACGAGACTACAACCTAAATGCTACATCCCAAAACACGAAACTCAGAAACCCGAATAAACTCCAAACTTTATTCGTGAACTCATAAAGAACCATAAAGCCATTTCGTGGCTTTGGTGTCGAACGCCTACATCCTAAAAATCGATGCCCTCGGTCCCCCCCACCACCCCAACCTCCCGCGCCAACCTAAAAACCCAAACTAAACCCTAAACCTAGGAGTTCAGTTTAGGGGGACCCTTGGGGATAGAGACCCTCTCAATAAGGTCCCTGTTAAGAGAGCCATAAGTAGGGTTAAGAAGGGTCCCCTTTCAGGGGGTCTCCTTAATACTACCCTAAACCCTAAACCCTAAACCCAAGCAGAAGCAACAAACCGCTAAACACTCCCTAAACCCTCAACCCTAAACCCTAAACGCCTGCTGTCCTCGGGCCATCGCAGCTGGCTCCGCGCCGCCAGCAGCGCTCTCATGAGCTTCTTCGCCAGCTCCGGGTGAGCATCCACCATTTGGGTCAGCTGTTCCTCCTGTAAGACCAGCACCTGGTTCATAGGGTTTAGGGTTTAGGCGGTTAGGGGTTTAGGGTTTAGTATGTTTAGGGCTTAGGGTTTAGTATATTCCTGGCTCTTGATGGTTAGAGTAGCTTCTCGGTATTAGTACATAATGCTACATGTCACTTGCAAGACCGGTACCTGCCCCACGGCCCCCCCCACCTCGCAGCCGTTGTTCATGATCATTTGCACGCAGAGCTGTTCTAGGCGACATCCCGTCCCGAAGACATGGCTGAGGAACATCAGGACATTGCTCTCTGAGAGCAAGCTGCCAAGCTCCGTCTCTGCCTTGATACGATTTAGGGGTCGCGGGCTTCATGCCCCAATACCAAAGCTAGGATTTCTATCTTTCGAGCACAAAGAAGAAGAAGGAGTTGGCAGGGGTGAAGAAGAGGGAGTTGGTAGGGTTCTCTCGGCCATTTCCTCGCCCCTGTGCCCCTCAACCCCTGAACCCGATAAATCCCAATCGAAACCCTAAAGCCTCGATCAGAAAAACCCGAAGCCCCGTGCTACTTCAGCTTCTTCCTCGGCTGCGTTGTAGTTTTGGGGTCCTTAAAATATTAAAAGTATTTATGAACAGGTGCCTCAAGGGAAATCATACCTCTATAGGAACCATAAGGGAAATCGTAAGGTTTCCCAAAGTGCCACCTGGTCCCAGAGAGCCCAATACCCCTTAACTAAGGAATATACCCTTAAGTCATAATATGAAAGCCCCTAAACCCTAAACCCTAAACCCTACTTTAAGGTATATACCTGTCGGGCCCCTAAACCCTAAACCCTAAACCCTACTTTAAGGTATATATTTCCTTAATTAAGGGGTTTTGGGCTCTCGTTGGTCGGGCCTTCTCCACCAGACCCGTGAGACGATACTGGTCCGCCAGCTTGCGGATCGACAGCGCGAAGGTGAAGTCTCCGTTGGCGAAGAAGGTGCCTTGCCCAAGGTTTAGGGGTTTAGGGTTTTAGGGTTTAGGGTTGTAGGGTTTCGGGTTTTGGGCTTAGGGTCTTTAGGGTTTAGGGTTTAGGGTACTACCCATAGGCCCCCTAAGTAGTTCCTTTGTGTCGTTTATATTTAGAATCCTATGAGGTAATCCCAAAAAGGAACTACTTAGGGGCCTATGACCCTAGAGCTCCAGCTATCCCAAACCCAAAATAACAGTACCATAATATGTGGTTAGTCACCTAGTTATCACTGCTTGGGTAGCTGGAGCCCTCGGCGCAACTTCCAAAGGTGTGCATCGCCACGCACATTGAACTTCCGGTTGAGTGTGTAGGGGATTTGGGTTGATGGCTTGGAGATGTTTAGGGAGTGCATGTGCAACTATGTGCGTATGTATACATGCTTTTTCACAGTAAACCACAAGCGCACTAACCCTTAGCATCAACATAGCCCAGAAGCCTTATATAATTGGGACTTTGGGCCCAAAAGCCTGAAAAATATGGGTCCTTTGATGGTAAGGGTAAACTCTCAACCCCCCAAACTCCAAAAGAACGGCCCTACACTCTAAACCCTAAAACCCCAAACCCTAAAACCCTGAACCGCAAGCCCGGGTGCCGGATGTCATGTAACGGAAGATGGCGCTGAGAGCGCGATGATCAGCTTGAGGGTCGCTACTCCTGGGCTGGTCTTAGAATCCTAGGCTCTTCAGTAACCCCCTGAAAAAAAAGTATATACTTTCTTAGGTTAGTTGTTATATACTAAAATGTACATACTTTCTTAGGTTAGTTGTTATATACTAGGAACCCAGGAGCCCAAAAAGTAAAAAAGTATACTCCTGGGCTGTGTCTCAGAAACCTGGGTTGTAGTTTTGGGGTTCCACGCTTTAGGGTTTGGGGCTATAGGGTTTTCGGGTTTGGGGTTTTAGGGTTTAGGGTTTAGGGTTTTAGGGTTCTTGACTGTTTTTATCACCAGAAAGGGCAAGTCTAAGGTTCCCCAGAGCAGCACCCACAAAGCCCGCATGGTTGTTGTATGGACTAGAGGGTTTGGGGTTTTGGGCCGTCTAAGTTTTTGGTTTCTGCGGGTTTTTTGTAGGGTTTTGCAAGGGGTTTACAGGGCTTTGTCGGGGTTTCTGTCTGAGCTTTTTCCTAGGGTTTAAGGACCCGGGAATCAGGGCCTTAGTTCACGTAGAATCTCCGTCCCCTTCTCTTTTAAACCTAGACCTGCGCTGTACCCACAGGCCCCTAAGTAGTTCCTTTCAGGGTTCATATTTAGAATCCTATAAGGTAATCCCAAAAAAGAACTACTAAGGAACCCTAAACCCTGAACCCTAAAACCCTAAAGCCCTAAACCCTGAACCCTAAACCCTAAAACCCGAAAACCCTAAACCCTAATCCCCAAAAAGGAACTACTAAGGGGCCTATGGGTAGGCAAAGGAAGAACCTGAACCCCCAAAAGCAAGTAAAGTACTGGCCCAAAACCCATTTCTAGGCTATTGTTCTACATACTTTTGGGGTCCAGGTAGACTCTAAGCCCCCTAAACCCTAAACCCCCAAAACCCTAAACGCTAGTGTTCTACATACCTTCTGGGGTCCAGGTAGACTCTACGCCAAGGAAGGAGCAAAAACCCTAAACCCTAAAACCCTAAAACCCGAAAACCCTAATCCCCAAAAAAGGGAACTACTAAGGGGCCTTTGGGTAGGCAACGGAAGGAGCAACGCTGAAGATCGGCCCAGGCTCAAGTCTATCTCATTCTTGCAGCCCTCCCGGAAACGGGGCTCTTCCTGAGCTTTGCGAAAAACGGGGTCTAAAGTGTAGGGGTTTAGGGGTCTGGGGGGTGGGGTTTAGGGGTTTAGGGTTTAGGGTTTGCTGGGCTACGGTCTAGGGCTCAGAGCGGGGATTGGACAAAAATATTGTTCTGTCTTGGGGCTTCTTGTTTGGACTTTCAAGCCATATGACTGCATAGCAAGTACAAGTGGTGATTGACATGAAATGGCTTAGGACCTCGTTTCGTACAAACCCCGCAGAATAGCAGATCTAAGTAGCGGGTAACCCTGAACACTGAACCCCTAAACCCTATTGCCTGCCCACCCACTACCCAAAACAGTCGAGAAATTGTGAAGATTGTAGCCGCCGCGGGTCTAGCATGTCCCGAAAATACTCCGAGCAGGCCATGAGGAGACGCTTGTCAAAGAAGAGGGGCGGCCCCTCTGCCAGTCGCACAGTGACCTGCGTTACCTGGTGTCTTCTTCCACCCTAGAACCCTCTCCCTCTCTCTCTCTCTCTCTCTCTCTCTCTCTCTATTATATATATACATACATACATATACATATACATATATATCTATATACATATATACCTATATATAAATATATACATACACATATACACATATGTACATATATACATATATACATATATACATATATACATATACACATATATACATATACACATACATACATACATACATATATATATATATGTGCATATGTATATATATTTATGTGTATATGTATATATACATATACATATATACATATATACATATATACATATATAC